ATCTGTGAGTTTATTAGTAATATTTTTAAATGGGCATTTTGAGTATATTTTTATTAACGTGTTTAACCCCTCTAACAAATGGCTTTCTATAATATTTCAAACTCAGGATATTCTATAGTTTATCTATATTCCTCAACTATCACATTTGTACAGTATACTGTTTGGGAAGAAAATTGCTGAATAGAGTTAGCAGTATAGTGGTGTTTTACTCTTTGTAAATCCTAATTTGTCATTTTAGTGACATTGAAATGAAGATTCTACCTTATTTTGTAAGATCCTCTTTCCATGTACACTTCAGTGAAGCACAGTTTGTCCTGGACTGATGGATATTTTCAGTAGCTGCAGTTTTTTAAAATAGCTGATAGCAGGAAATGTTATTTATAACTCCCTATAGAGGTTTCAGAGTAACAGCCGTGTTTGTCTGTATTCGCAAAAAGAAAAGGAGTACTTATGGAACCTTAGAGACTAACCAATTTACTTGAGCATAAGCTTTCATGAGCTACAGCTCACTTCATCGGACGAAGGTATAGAGATTCTATCCTATAGAGGTTCTCCTTTAACTCACCATAATCCAATGTGACTTTACAACTAAAGTACATGTACCAACATGTGCTCTGCTTCTGTGTTACAATAACCTAGAAGATAGCTTCCAAAAGCAGGATACTGTAATCATTTGGGAGCTTGTAAACCTCCTGGAAAATATTAGAAGCATCTCTGCATACTTCATGTTAAGAATGTAAATTCACAGATATATTTTCCCTTCATTTTATTGTTAACATGAAGTATGCGGAGACGATAACATCATCAGGGTGAATGTAAGAAAATAATTTCTTTTACGATATAATGGGAATCGCTACAGAATATACCATTGCTGTTATATATTAAATCCAAAAGTTTGAATAAAACACTTATTGGAAAAAATATTAACAAATTTGCAACTTTGTGTGTAAGGCAACAGCATTCTGAAGATCTGTAAAAATACTAGAGTTTTTCAGTTCAGTTTGCAGGTCTGGTTTGTATTCAGGAATACATGGTGTTCAGGAATTTGTTAACACAGAGAAGTGTGGTGATTTAGACCAGCAATACTATGAAGAGTTATATGTCACTTTACCTGCATATCAATCTATGCAGGTAGCTGTCACATTGGTAGAGTGCCCACTGTCCACAGCTGAGCCAAAAAGGGGAGGGGGGAAGCCCCTCTTCACTCAAAAAAACAGAAGAATTAACAAACAATATAATTCATATGTAGATCTCTACTTTCCTCAAGGAGCTCTCCCTGTGACTGAGTCTCCCATGCGAAGTACCAGCTTCATAACTCCAACCCCCCCTAAGGATAAGTGGTCTCCTCTTTTATATCCTGTTCCTTCCTGATTATTAGCTATAGCTGGAGGGCTATCTCTCTGGGCTTGACCCTGGTTGCTGGTGTTAGGGGTGCAGGGCCAATTTAAGTCACTGTTTCAGAAAAGATCATTAATCCCTTCTTGCCCTGGCTTGGTGTAAAGTTTGTACATTCTGGGCTGGATTCTGTGCTTTGCTATTTTTGTTTGTTTATCGATTTTTGGTTTCTTATTAATTCTACATATACAGTTAGTGTCGGACTGCTTTGGCTCAGAAGTGAGCTTTGCATTATGTTCTTAAGATGGCTAGGCTTGAGCTCATTATGTTGTCCTTCACTGAGACAGGATGGGTCATGAATCATAGAATTGTAGGACTGGAAGGGACCTCCAGAGGTCATGTAGGCCAATCCCCTATACTCATGGCAGGACAAAGTATTATCTAGACCAGAGAATGGTCTCTGAGTTAGCAAAGGCCTTATAGATGTTAAAAGTAGAAATTTGCATTGATCCTAGAAACAAACTATAAACGAGTAGAAGTTGCAGCTCACTTGTGTGATATGTTTGAGAGGATAGTTTTGTTTAAGAGGTTGCAAGCATACAATCAAGAATTTCCATGTTGCCCTACGATCAACCCCACATAGATTTACCACAATCTAATCTGTAGGTGATAAATCCATAAATTGTGCTTAGGTCCTTGATGAAGGAGAAAGAGAACAGATTCCTGGCAAACCTGTACCTCCAAAATGTCTCACCACTGTGTCAATCTAAATTTAGCGAAGCATAAAATAAGAACCTGAAAGTTCATACTGCTTTGATAAGTGGAGGGCAGATACCAGAGGTCAGTGTCTGGGGAGCTTGTGGAAGTGTTACGCAGGTCAGTGGTACTTTTTAATTGACTATATGGAAGGCTACAGTGAGGTTAAGTGCTGATATTAGGCTTCTATTCATAACCACATCATCCATCAGTGCTACTATAGCGATTCTCATGCCATTTTACTTTGGGAAAGGTTCAGGATAGTGATACAGATCAGGTTGTTAAAGCTGATTGGCACTAGTCTGCTCCAATCAATTTCATTATCCTAATGAAAAAGAAATGACTGCACAAAAGTTCAGTATTTATAAAGGTATGGAAGGGTCTTCAGGAAATGTGTCAATGTCGATATATTTAGGTTAAGGTTTAATTCCTGCACATGCTTACACACATGTTCAGCTTTAAACATGTGAGTTGTCACACTGATTTCAAACAACTACAGGATCAGGGCCTAAGTGATATGAGGCAAAGAAAGGAAGGATCTGCCATTGATCAATCTGCCATTGATTATGTGATTTACAGTTGCACTATAAGAAATTTCCTTAGTAAATGTCTTTTAAAAAGGTTTAACACAGAGCTACGTACAACACAATTATGCAAATATAACATGAAGAGCGTTGATTCCATAATTTACTTATTGGTTAAGTAACATGTTGGAGCCGTGTTTGTATGTGCACAAACCTTGTGTTCTGAAAATCGATATGAGCACACATAAGGCTTCTAAAAATCATTCATATATTAACATGTGCACTTTCATTTGGCTTCTACATTTCATTTTTCTTGTGTTGGCGCTATAAGGGTGTTGGATCATATTAAAGAAGTTCTGTATTAAAATCACAAATGAGTTTGATTACTAATTAAGAGGTCTCTTGGTTTTTGGTACTGTTTCTCTCCCTCTATGTGTGAAAATTGCAAGCTGTTAATTGTGTTAGTACATTCTAAGACAGAGTCTGTTCTCAAAGCAATTCACACAGAGAGAGACTCAAAGCAATACTCTGTAACAACAGAAACAGCACTCAGAGACTCCCTGCCCTTTTGTTGTATTAACAATTGTGATTAAAATAGAGATAGAGGATGTATGTGGATGGATGCTTGGTGTGGATAATAACTGAATGATCGGGGAGGTGCCAGCCTAAGAATCCAGTGTCCATCGGCTGAAGAAGGCGTCAAGTGGAAATAACCAGAGGACCCTTGGAGGGCAGCCTGGAATCCACCCAACAGCCTCAAGAATGGGAGAACCAAAGAACAAGATAACATCTAGCAGCACGGAGCCGTCAGGAACGTGCTATCTGCTGATTGATTCAGCAACAGCATGATGAAGCAATTCCCATAGACTGGCATAGGAAGAAATTCCTATAAAAATGGACTCTAGAAAGTGAGAACTTCGGGGTCTGATTCTGGAAACCAACTTCCAGGAGCATCAGATGTGCATCTGACAAGGCCCTGCTTCCTCCTCATGTCCAGGCCACCTGGCCAGTGGCTTGGCATGATCAACTCTAAGGCTGGTAACTATGATAGCAACCTTGCAGAACCTGTGTATGTGTGTTTGTATGAATGAATGTGTGAATAAATATGAGATTGAATGGAATGTTATAGCTATAACCAACTGCTTACTATTATTCTTTCTGTATTCACAATAAATGTGGTATTTTGCCTTTTCCCCTTTAATAAGATCTTGTTGGTTTTTATTTTATTGGTATAACAAAAGAAGTTAATGAATAGGCTCATAATCTTCAGTAAGCACTAGATTCGGACCTTGCAGCAGTCTCAGGGCTGCTCTAAATTATGTGCAGCTGCCTTTTCCCTCCTGCCCAAAAACTATGCCAGAAACTGGGAAGGAGATGGTATAGAGCCACAAGCAGGTGGTGAAGCCAGCTTTATAGCCCTTGTGCCAGAAGAATTGTGCAAGTGGACCATAGTAGCTCCAAGGATTTGTCAGAGCATCAACAAAACAAGGAAACTGACTATATACAAAGTGCTGTCACGTGCACAAAGCAAGAAAACTGAAAAAAATAGATTTCCCTCTGCCACCATCTCTTTCAGTTACTCATTTTAGGTATTACTTGGGACAATAGCAGAGACAAAGTTTTAGATGGAAATGTGGTTTTAAAGTTGACAGTGTCATAATCTCCTGACTTTCTAATGTATATTTTTTAAAACTCATATATTCTTGTAGGTAATATACACATAAATTATAGAATTATGCAATTTGTTATTTGCCACCTTTATATGGAATATGTATTACATATATAACACTACACAGGATTACATAAATTAGGAAATACAAAATGTGTTGGTTTAAAATTACATAGTTTATTACAGTATTATATTTCAACAGAACCTTTGGTAATACATAAATACTACAAATTAGGTAACAATGTTAAAAATAAACATGTAAGACAAATATGGTATTGGCATTATAAATAAATAACAACATTAATTAATTAAAAACCGGCCCTAAATCTGAATATTTTTTCACAGGGTAAAACAGCAAATGAAATTATCAGTCTAATACTGCTGCAGTCCATGCTTAAACCTAAAGATTACTTTGACGAATCAGGCCTGTTTTGTATTCCTTCTATTTTCATATTTCAGTATTTTTCTCATCAATGCCCTTAGAAATGGGTCAACTTGTAACATGCTTTAAAATATCATAAATGTGATTTTTGAGAGTTAGTTACTAAAACTGTTATATTGCAAGTCATCTAAATTGAATCTCCTAAAAATGAACTGTCTTAAATTAAACTCCTGAGGAATTATAACCTGTTTGCTTAATGGTTTTGGTTAAGTGCAATAGAGTGCTGTTTTATTTAAGGTCATTCTTGATAAGGCATATTAAAAAACTACAAAAGTGACAACGTAATATTTATTTCTTGCTACAAAATTTTAGGCAAAAAGTATTTTTTTCACATAGTAATGGATTTCATCCAATTGCTGGCTTATTTGCTGTATACACAGTAATTAAAATTTGTGCACTAAGCTGAGCTGCTCTTGTCAGACCATGCCACTGTGCTGAAACAGTGGGCTGGCCAAGATGCCTCAGAAGAGCTACATGCTGCAGATTTTGTTTCCATGCTCAAACACAGCCTGCACAAACTGCTTGAAGACTCTGTCCATGTAAGTGCATTTCCTTGGCCACATTCCTTCTAGAAAACCAATATGGCCTCCATAAGAAGTAAGAACCAAAGCAACATTCGGATTTTGTTTGGCAGTTTCTATGGGTATAGCTAAAAGAAAAGAAAAGTATAGTAAGTCCCCCATCTCATTATTTATCTCTAGTAAATACCATGCATTCTAATCATACAACAGAAATACAGAAAAGGGTATTGCAGGATTGGGATGTTAAGATGTCAAAAGATACCTCACTTTGAATCATTACTCACATCATTTGTGCAAATTTCTAGATGATGCACTGATTGATCCTCTTCTCACTCACACTGATGCAAAATAAATGTAACTGAAGTCAATGCAGATTTACAATGGTGTAAAAACAGTGTAAGTGAGAGGAGAATCAGGTCCATAGCTTTACATATGTGCTTCAATACTTGGCAACAGAAAATGATGGATTAACAATGAATAGTCCTCGTTCTTGTTAGATTAGGTATGAACCCTGAAGTCATTTTAACATTTTGTATTTAATATATTTCTGTAAATAGTATTGTAAGAATTTGTTTACTTTGGGAATCTGAGTTCAGTGCTTATCAGAGTGAAAGGCCAACAGCTATAGATAGCGAGATGTTCAATGTACTTATACAGCTACGTTAATGCTCAGCATCAGTACAGGGTTATTAATACCATCATTATTATGTATTCTTTGTATTACAGTAGCACCTAAAGGCCTCAACCAAGATTTGGGCCCCAGCCAAGATTTGGGTTCCATTGTACTTTGATCTCAATGGGAGTTAGGTGCCTAAATACTTTTGAGGATCTGGGCTCTAGCAAGAGACAGTGCCTGCACAAAAAAGCTTACAATGTAGACAGGCAAAGAGTGGGACGGGAAAGAGGCACACACAGTGACTTCCCCAAGGTCACACACCAGGTTAGTGGCCCTCTCTAGGTTAGCGAATGCTAGTAAATGAGTTACTCAGAATTAGATCAGCTGTCTAAAATTAGACTCTAAACTGTGCAATGATTTGGGCATATGCATATATAGAGATTACAATGAATGATTTTTGATTTCAGTGAATTCAGATAGTCAAAAGTATTCAGAGGTGAATGGCTAGTACATTGATCCACTGGGTCACCTATTGCAGAACCCTTGATAAAAGAAAAATAAAGGTAAATTAAAATCAGATTAACAATATAGAAAGCACATGTATTCACAAAATGACAGATAAATGCAACTGTCTGACTATTCTCATATGGAATAACTATCTGACATGACATGACGTTACTGCAACTTAATGGAATTCTTCATACTCAGGGTGGAGTGATTAGTTATTTAAAGGAGTTGCCATTGAAAAATGAGTAACAGAGGTTTAATGTGTGTTAAATGTGTTTATTTTTTACATAGCAAAAGGCCCTGATATACGCTAAGGGCAGAAGCCTTAAAAAACTGCAGTTTTCAAATATTATGCTTTTTTTGCAGGAATGGAAAAAATAAAACTAAAAAAAATTGTGATTAGGTTCTACAAAAAACAATTTGCATTATGTTTTGACGGAAATGAGTAAGTAGAATTAAACTAAATTCAATAATAAATTCACATAATGCAATAGTCTGACACACAGGGCCACTGATGCCTGCTATTGAAGGGTTAACTACTCTTTTGTGACACAAAGGCCTATTGATGCCAGAGTGCAAAAGGGTCACTACTCTGTGTCAGCAACTCCTATCAGGCCTAGTAAACTCACTACACCCAACACACTACTTTCATATAAGACACCAAAATGTGTCTTACAAAGTCTCAAATAAAAGCTGATAACACACTGGCCATTAATTCATTGTGAAATGTATGTACTGACACTATATCAGGAATTGTGTATATATACTGAAATTATTTTTAAAGTCTGTAACAAGGCAGAGCAGACAAACAGGTCTTCTGCCAGAAAAAGCATGTCTCTTCACCTATCCCTGTCTCTGATGTAAATTAAGCATTGTAAAACAATGGAAGCCCCATCTGCATGTAGAGCTAACAGGAAAAACAGGTTTCAGAGGAACAGCCGTGTTAGTCTGTATTCGCAAAAAGAAAAGGAGTACTTGTGGCACCTTAGAGACTAACCAATTTATTTGAGCATGAGCTTTCGTGAGCTACAGCTCACTTCATCAGGTTGATTGGGGGATGTGAAACCAACTGGGTCAGGGAGCACACTGGAGAACAAGCAACAGGGGAGAAGAGTCTTATCTGGGGATGCACTTCCAAAGGGGCATGTCAAAGATTTACTGGACTATACAAGGAAGGAAAAAGGCCCCTTTTCCGATCCTTCACTGAGGGAGCAAAAAAGATACTGCTTTTCACATTCATGAAAATTGGATGCTGGCCATGTGGACTAGTGATGCTGGGAGGTTGCTTTAGGTGAGAAATTGCTTTAGACAAGGATTTTAGACTGTTAGAGTTAACTTTGGACTCTAAGAAACATGTTCTTCCTTTCGCTTTACATGTAACTTGTTGACTTTGCTCACTGTGTCTTACATCTTAGTCTTTGTAAATAAACATATTTGTTTCACTATAAGTAGATTCCAGTGCTGTGTTTTTGTAAGGGACCTGATCCTTAGTTGTGTCAGTCAACCTGTGTGACAATATATTTGTGGGAGTGTCCAGTGACAGGGAATGTAGTGGTACTCTGACAGAGGGAGGGGCTTGAGAGTTGGTGTATGTCTGTCACTAGCCTGAACAAGAGAGGGAGAGGTCTGTGGAGACCTGGAAGTCAGTGCTTGTCTGTTTCGAGAGGCTGTTGGTTTCAGGGGGCTGAGCTACAGCAGGCATCAGGCAAGACAGCTTCACACTAAGGACAGGTAGTGGTGGTGAGGTGCCTCACAACCCTGAGTACCATGGGGGAGCATCACAATGCTACCTTTGTTCAAAAGCTAGTCTATTCTTTATGTTTTCCATCTCTGCCGAATTAAAAAAACAAACCAAACACACACCCCCAAAGGATAGAGCAGCATGAATTTTGCTAATCTTCTACTCTCATGTTTTCCATCCCCTTCTTTTGACTCATTTCTCTGTCGTCTATCCATGAATCCCTTACTCCCATTTTCTGACTCTTACCCCTCTCCCTAATCTTTTTATCCTCTCTTTTTTTCTTTGGTCTCTCCTGACTGCTTCATTCCATTGAATTGTCTGCAGAAAGGGATGCAGAGTGAAACTTAACAATGATGTATTGTAAATTTAAACCCAAAAGAAACAGAGTGAAGAGAGAAAGATAGTTAGTAAAATTTACACTGTGGTCTGAAAAGGGCACAGATATTAATGGAGTGGAGTGGTACAAACATGCTGACAGGGCACTAAACTGCAAGGTCAGAGTCTCAGATGTGATATAGCATTGTCTCTACCAGCACCTGGCAGACCATTAGAATGAGGAAATTTAAGTCACACTGCATAATATGCCTCTGAAAGGTAGTGATCAAAGAAAATGATAATTCAACTATAGAGTCAAATATGACACTATGATAACTGGCACTACTGGTGCCTGTTTTGTTTTGTTTTTGGACAGGTGAGGGTTTTTAGGCAATTCAAAATAAAAGCTGAAATTGGCTATATCATGCCTTTCCTCATACAATGAATTGTCTGGATTACTCTGGGTGAGAAAAATGGCTTGGAGTTAAAAATACTTGATGCAAATGACACTTGCTTTTATTAGTTATATACTTTGAGAACAGTCAAGATTTGTATATATACAGCTGTATGTTCATACAGCTGCATCAGCCATGCGTGCACTAGGTAATTTAAACTGAAACTGCCATCACAGAGGCATGCCTGGAAATAAGAGATACAGCTTCTTCATGTTGGATCAAGACCCCTGTGGACATTTTTCTGATTATGGGTCGAGTCCATGATGTCTTCCACCATTATGTTTACAAGTGCAAAAGATATCAAAAACTGCATTTACAGATGATGTGAGAGCAAATGACTGCAATTAAAGGAAGCAGATGCAGTGTCTGCATTTCTTATGGTCAATCAGCCTTGAACAATTTAAAATGGGGATAAAAGCTTCTAAACTGTAATTAGAATGTTAAGTGACACACATCTGGTGGATCTGCACCTCATCTAACAGACAACTTTGCAGACAGGTGTAGCCAGCTTCATACAGGGAGTTGTCTGAATACAGAGCAATCCTGGAGTAGCTCTCTTTAGAGAACCTTCTCTGCTAGGCTGAGGTTGTGTTTCCAAGTGGCAGCATTCTAAGTTTGATCCAGTCTGGAACTGTGGAATTCTAATTTTCTGCTACTAATGGGGAACTGAAGCATGCATGGAAGGTTGAGAGGAAACCTCAGATTTACTGGAAGAAGTATGAGGAGGCATGCAAAAGTAGCCAATTCCTGCAATCAGTGGAAGCCTGGGGTCCTCCTGATCAGAGTCATTCCCAGCTCAGCACAGGTCCCCAAAGTCTAGTAGAGGATTAAACCTCAGAAAGGGAACAGGGGTAAATAGTTTTTTTATCTCTGCCTTGAAAAACTTCTGCTATCCAATACATCATCACTTTCTAGTAGTCAAGTAAGTGACAGCTAAGTTACTAAATTAATCAAAATGAGTGGCTGAACAGATTTCTTGCCCTTGGTTTAATCCCCTCCAATAATATTTCTCTATTTTCTATGCTGTATGAAACATTACCTACCTTTGACAGTAGGAGGAGCAAGGACCAAACAAATGCCTGAACATACAAGAATTTAATGGAGAAATGCAGGATAGAATCAGATTTTAAGGGGAAAACACAATCACCACAAAAAATTATAATGTTCTATCTTTCGGTTCTATACAATACCCCCACACCAGGATATGTTTGTCTCTATTATTGTTTGTTTAGCACCAACAATGGGCGCATGATGAATTAAAAAAAACAGTCCTTCTGCAGCCCACTGTTCAGTGTGCATTGTGTCCCCCTCCGTGCCAGATTCATAGAGGATATGAACCTGCTACAACTGTCAGTTTTAGCTTACGCTGTAGAAGCTTGTATTTTAATTCGGGGGGTCCTGGGTTCAGTTCCAAGATGATTCTTGAGCCTGAGACCTCGTCTATAACTGAGGTGTGAGGAGAAAGGAGGTTGTATAGCCCTCATTAGAGGCCCTTGGAAGCATTATGCTGGCAGGAACCAGGAGGAGTAATGAATGGATCATACTACATCCAGGAGCATGGGGAAAAAGTGATCTCACTGGTGGTTCCACCAATACCCATTTTACAAATGTAGCCTGTGCTTCAAACCACACAGCTCCACAATCAATAGGTAGTGCATGGGTTTCAGGTCTATGGTCACACCAAGATACTCCCAATCAAGAGTGGTGTGTGTTGTTTGCCAAAAGTGGCAGCTGCCTGGTCTCCACTTCTTTACACTACCAGTGCAGGAGTCCTAAGAGGGACAAAAGAGGTCTCTCCTTCCTCAGTGTACCTTCACTGAAGCAGGCATAGCTGATTTCCAACAACTTTTTGTGTAATCCTACTTGACATTAGATTTGTGTAACTTTTAACATATTCATGACACATATAATCTTCCTTCAGTTTCTTTAAACTTCGGTTCAGTACTCTAACCTATTTGCACAATCTCCGTGGTGTCCTAGATTTTCTTATGAAGATCTGGGTCAATTTACAATGGCAATAGCAAGTTTCCCTGCATCAAACCAACATTTTGTACTTCCAACTGTCAGCGGTCTACTGCAGAAGATTGTGTCGTTAACTAGCTCTTAGCCTGGCTAGTTCCTCTTTTACAACTTTACTTTTATTCACTGTCATATCACTCCGAGGAAAATATAGCCATCATGCAGACCACAGGACCAAAAAAATCTTTAACCATGTTGATAACTGACTTAAGAGGGTCAACAGTAAAAGCCTGATTGCTCTGTCAGGTGATCAGGATAAACTATTTTAAAAAATCTATTGTGTTTTTCCAGCTTAACTGTTATTAGCTGGCATTGCTGCCTGTTGGGCAGCTTCATCCTCCAATCAGATTTCTACTAATATTGATATGGGATTTCCTGTATAAGATCATATAATATGTATCCCTTCTGCTGTCCTGGACCAACAACACAGCCATGTCAGCACTTTGGCCCATGTGCCATCTGAGATTGAAGGATTCTAAACTTCCTTCCTATCTTTAATCATCAAAGGGAACCAAATGATTTTTGCATTAGGCATTGGACTTTTATGTCTCTGAGGTCATTGCCAGCGATGGCTATAGAGGAGTTCAAATATCCTGAAACATGAGCAAATCACAGTATGACATGTTTTATAGGGGCTGGCTTACAAGAATGCTGATCAACAAAAGAACTAAGCATTTTTCACCTTGTATTAGTTAGGCCTCTCCAATAACTTCAAAGTTTATCAGAGTGGAAAATGGGAACTAAAAATACCAGTAGTGATGTACAGTAGTAGTATTAAACACATCTCATTCATATATAGCCTGTTCTTAGATCTATGCAGTTTTCCATCTTACTGATTGCATACGTACATACATACAGGTATAAAGAGAAACATAAAAAAGCCACAACTTACCATGACCTGGTGAAAAAACATCATCCAGAGAGTTTAGACATAACACGGGAATTCCTATTGACTTCAGCTTGCGATATGGACTAGCATCTACATAGTAATCATCAACTGTACAGTAGCCAAACATGACTGAGGTGAATTGCTTATCAAACTCCCTAATGGTTTTAGCCTGAAAGTACAGAATTCAAAATCAGGAACAACATCAGTATTTGGAAACCAAAACATGAAATCAAAAGAGAAAAGATCTATCCATCTACCTTCATGACAAGATTCATATCAAATAATTTCTCTAACATTTGTCGATGTCTGGAAAAAAATGAGGGGAGGGGGAAGAAAAAATGATTTTACAGATGTAGAAGTCGTCCGCCTTACAAATACATACTCAGAAATAAATATAATCATAGAGTAAGAACATTTGTTTTATTTCTCAGAATTATAAATCCTTGTGTCCTGGACACTAATCAATGTGCACTTACTTCCAAATACAACCAGAAACTAGGGCTGTCAATTAATCGCAGTTAATTTACGCAATTAACTAAAAAAAGGTAATTGTAATTAAAAAAATTAATCGTGATTAATCGCAGTTTTAATCGCATTGTTAAATAATAGAATACCAATTGAAATGTATTAAATATTTCTGATGTTTTTCTACATTTTCAAATATTTTATTTCATTTACAACACAGAATACAAAGTGTATAGTGCTCACTTTATATTATTTTTATTACAAATATTTGCATTGTAAAAATGATAAACAAAAGAAATAATATTTTTCAGTTCATCTCATACAAGTACAGTAATGCAATCTCTTTATCAGGAAAGTGCAATTTACAAATGTAGATTTTTTTGTTACATAACTGCACTCAAAAACAAAATGTAAAACTTCAGAGCCTACAAGTCCACTTAGTCTGACTTCTTGTTCAGCCAATCACTAAGACAAACAAGTTTGTTTACCTTTATGGGAGATAATGCTGCCCGCTTCTTATTTACAATGTCACCTGAAAATAAGAACAGGTGTTCGCATGGCACCCCAGCATTGCTATGTATTTATGTGCCAGGTATACTAAACATTCATATGCCCCATCATGCTTTGGCCACCATTCCAGAGAACGTGCTTCCATGCCAATGACGCTCGTTAAAAAAAAACATGCATTAACTGAATTTGTGACTGAACTCCTTGAGGGAGAATTGTATGCCTCCTGCTCTGTTTTACCTGCATTCTGCCATATCTTTCGTGTTATGGCAATCTCGAATGATGACCCAGCACATGTTGTTCATTTTAAGAACACTTTCACTGCAGTTTTGACAAAACAAAGAAAGTGAGATTTCTAAAAGTAGCTACAGCACATGACCCAAGGTTTAAGAATCTGAAGTGCCTTCCAAAATCTGAAAGGGACGAGGAGTAGAGCATGCTTTCAGAAGTCTTAAAAGAGCAACAGTCCAATGTGGAAACTACAGAACCCGAACCACCAAAAAATAAAATTAACCTTCTTGGTGGCATCTGACTCAGGTGATGAAAATGAACATGCGTCAGTCTGCACTGCTTTGGATCGTTATCGAGCAGAGCCTGTCATCAGCATGGAAGCATGTCCTCTGGAATGATGGGCAAAGCATGAAGGGACATATGAAACTTTAGTGCATTCGGCATGTAAATATCTTGCGACAACAGCTACAGCAGTGCCATGCAAACGCCTGTTCTCACTTTCAGGTGACACTGTAAACAAGAAGCGGGCAGTATTATCTCCTGCAAATGTAAACAAAATTGTTTGTCTGAGCAATTGGCTGAACAAGAAGTAGGACTGAGTTAACTTGTAGGCTCTAAAGTTTTACATTGTTTTATTTTTGAGTGCAGTTATTTTTTGTACATAACTCTATAACTGTAAGTTCAATTTTCATGATAAAGAGATTGCACTACAGTACTTGGATTAGGTGAATTGAAAAATACAATTTCTTTTGTTTTCTTTTACAGGGCAAATATTTGTAATAAAAATACATATAAAGTGAGAACTGTACACTTTGTATTCTGTGTTCTAATTGAAATCAATATATTTGAAAATGTAGAAAACATCCAAAAATATTTAAATAAATGGTATTCTATTATTGTTTAAACAGAGTGATTAATTGCACGATTAATCAGGATTATTTATTTAATCGCACAATTAATCTCGATTAATTTTTTTAATCGCTTGACAGCACTACCAGAAACATGAGTGAAATCTGCATTCGTCATTAGAAAGCTGACAAGGATAAAAAGGAGAACTTTGATTTTAGGAACAAAAACATTAATTCTTTAAGACTACATATGAGCTACCCTTTCCCCTCCTTTTTGTTTTCAGAGTTGATTTTTTAACAAATTCATATCTATGTAGCCCTTAAACTAAATGTGTTAATATTGGTTAGTTTATAAAGAAAATCAAATTGGTGCCATACATCCAAATCATGACTAACCTTACAATAATCATTGTGTGCATGAGGTGAAATTCAGTCCTGTAGATAGGGCCAGCACAAAGCCTATACACCATTTAAGTCCCACTTCAGATTTATTTTGAAGACTGCAATGGTACATAAGCTGGTTCTCTGTACAAGAGTGAATTCTACCTATGAGGAAAATCTTTCAAGCAAGGAAACATTTCAGTTTCAGAATTTCCTGAGATTACACACACAAAGAAAAGCATTATGTGAAATGCAGTAATAGCATTCCTTTCCCAGGAGGCCCATGTATCTGGCTTATATTCCATACTAACATTTTCAACCTTTCTGAATAGTTCAGAAGGTGACTCACCTATTAATAGAGGACTGTAAACAAGTAGTCAAGTAGTAGTTAAAGAGAAGCCAATTTAGTGGTTTCTCCAATGATTCTGCAGACTCAAAAACATTCCAACCAGCAGAGAAAATTGCAGCTGCCATCAAAGGGGTTTCTCGGCCAGTTTGGCCCAGGTAATTTAAAAGAAGCATGCTACAAAGAAGAATAAAAATAAAACAAATCAAACTGTCAGATCACTCACTGAAATATAATCACATGTTTAACAATCTGCCAACTTTACACCTATTCTGTTCTAAATGGGTTCTTGCACCACCCATGGTATTTCCCTTCCAATAGTGCCTTAAGTGATGTTACTAACATCTGTCACGTTTCATTTTCTCTCGCATCCTGTCCCCAGGAGGAGGAGGGTATGCAGTGTTGTGTTTGGGTTTTGTTTTGTTTTTTGGCGGGGGTGTATTTTTAATATGTACACACTGCTAATTGTTTACATTAGAGAAGGCAAGGTCAATTAAGTGTGCCTTGCTCTTGGAACAGAAAGGGGTAGGTCTTACAAAATTTCATTTTTCTTAATACTTTTGAAAATTGCAATCTACCCAGTGAGACACGTGTGGGCTGGCGACAGTATTTGGGAATTTTAGCCTCCACCATCGCATCACACTTGGGAGCGTGTATGGTGGGCACAGATCTTGAATGCAAAGAATATGAAGAGTTATTTAAAATTAGGAAAAAAATATGGCCGAGAACCCCTGGCCTAATTAAAGTCTTGCCTTCCTGAGTACTGCTACTTAATGTAAGGGGACTGTTGCCCCCTTATTAACATTCAGTGGGGGTGTTTTGGTTGGCTAGCTCCCAGTACTAAAAGGAAAAGGGTTTATGGGAAATCAGGACCCTGAAACTGACAGTCCCCAGGAACAATGGGGAGAGGCCAATGCTCCAGGTCAGCCTGAATGATAGGGCGGGCAGGCTAATCAGAGAGTCAGGAGGCCAGGGAAGTCTTGTACTCCATGTGAGCTGGAATTGCCTGGGTCAGACAGAGTGGGGCCCAGCTAAAGAGAAAGCAGGGGTGCAAGCTGAGCTGGGGAGCAGAGCTGTGCCAGATTCAGAGAGAGCAGACCCTGTCCTGGGAGCAGAGCTACAGCCCCAAAGCCAGAGGCATAGCCCAGAGAGAGCAGACTTGCCGTGGGAGGAGAGCTGCAGCAACCAGAGCCAGAGGTGCCAGAAAAGCAGCCTAGGAAGCAGGTCAGTGCTGGGAGCAGAGTCACAGAAGCAGCCTGCAGAGCAGACCTGTCCTGGGAGCAGAGCTGCAGCAACCAGAGCCAGAGGGGCCAAAGAAGCAGCCCAGGGAGCTGGAGGCAGAGCAGCAGCAGCAGGGCAGAGACAGAGTGGTGGAGCTGGGGCTGGAGCAGTCCGGAGCTGGGTGCGGTGAGCAGCTGGGGAGAGCGAGGGGGACCCTGGGCAGCAGGCCCAGCACAGGGAGACACCTCAGCCAAGACGCTCTGCAGGCCAGGCTTGGATCGTAACCCCGACAGGGCGGGGGCGACATTGGGAAGAAGGGTCCTACCACTTAGGGCCTGAGAGCGTGTGGCCACCACCAGAGCAAGTGTCCGACCCACAGTATCCCTGCAGCACAGCCAGGGCCTGAGAAGAAGGCCTGGGACTTACAAGGAACAGACTGTGAACTTCCCTGACATTCCAGAGACACTGTTTGTGATGTTTCCTGCCACAGAGCAGATTGATGTGTTTCCTTTAACCTTTCCCATTTTTCCTTATTCTTTTTAAAATTAATTGTTGATTAAATAACTTGCATTTGCTTTAAATTGTATGTAATGGTCAGTGGGTCAGAGAAGTGCCCAGGACAGAGAGAGTACCCCAGAATGGGGACACCCTAGCCCCTGTCCTAGGTGACCACAGCAGGGTTGGGGGTCGAGCCCCCCAGGAATCCTGGGCCCAGCCTTGTTGGGGTTACAAGAACTCTGCCAGACAGGAGAGTGGAAGGGGAGTCCTCAAGGGCAGGGAGGCCACTGGGTAAAGGAAGTGGGAGCGAGGACTCAGATCCTTTCCCTAGCCCATTTCACTGGGGTAGTGCAGAAGCCAGGAAAGTTCCGCACTATTCCTCCACTTACATAATAGTCTCCATAGCTGCTGTATGCCTGAGATGAAGGAAAGCTCACAGGTACTTGCCACTCCAGATGCAGAAAGATTAAAAATAAATCAGGAGGATGGGTAGGATAGTGCAGGAGAAAAACAGAAGATGGCCTGAAAACTAGAAGGTTTGCTGTCTAAGGGCAGATTGGAAAAGGAGGACTTGTGGCACCTTAGGGACTAACAAATGTATTTGAGCATAAACTTTCGTGAGTTACAGCTCACTTCATCAATGAGGTGTAGCTCACGAAAGCTTATGCTCAAATAAATTTGTTAGTCTCTAAGGTGCCCCAAGTACTCCTTTTCTTTTTGCGGATACAGACTAACATGGCTGCTACTCTGAAAACTGTCATTATGTAAGGGCAGATTGTGGCCCATCCTGCCTACTTTCACGGGGTACTATTGGAGTATAAGCCATCCCCTTCCTCCCCTGCACCAGCTAGTGATGGGTACCAGTGCAGAAGGAAGAACAGTCTCCAGGGGCTGGTACATCCCAACCCTATAAACATTTGCAGGGAGCAAACAGGAAAGAATGAGTAACAAGCAACATGCTGACACAGCTGTACATTCCAGCATACCAGGGGTTGTAAGCTGTGTCTGGGATCGAGCTGATACAAGGTTTGTATCCCCACATCCTTGAAGGGGGGGGGGGGAGGGTGTGTGTGCGTGGGACACACACTGGGAGGCAACACAGCTACCTGCTGCCCCATACACAGAGCTTGTGGAAAAACCCACAATTGATTTCTAAGCCAGTAAAAATGCTGATGTGGTAGAACAAGCCACAAATGGAAGCTGGAGAATATATGTGGTGGGAAAGATATTGAGAAGCTTCATGCTAGAGGAGCAGTGCCCCTTCCAAAACAATACAGACTGGAAGTCAAAGAGAAGTGTACTTTAATTTAAATGTACATCAAAGGGAAGTAAAGTCAATGTTTTATTTCCTTCTTAATCAGCCAAATTTAAGTTTCTTCTCGCTCTGCAATCTCCTTATGAAATGTTGTGGGTCGTGTTGCATTTTTTTAAACGTCTGTCAGGAGTCTACTTGTATTTTGTTTTCAATTTAGAAAGTTTTTAAAATTATTGAAGAAATAATTTTAAAAGTACTTTGAGATGAAGATTTTGAATAGCTGCTTCTTATAAGATCCTGATCCTGCAAAGACCTTCACATGTGTTTAGCTTTAAACAGATGAGTAATCCAATTCACAACAAAGATGCTTAATTTTAAGCATGTGAGTAATCCCAATGTAGTCGATTTGGGACTACTCAATTGCTGAAAATTAAGCATGTGCATAAATCTTTGCAAGATCAGAGCCTAGAGGAGAAGGTGACAAGACAAAGAAATAGATCATGAATCTATTATATGATGCAAACATCAAAGACACAGTGAAAACCAGCTAAGATTACAAAGGAACAATGGCAAATTTAAAACCACAACAACCCGAGGGAATGCAGCGTAAATCCATTTCCATACATTCATCACCTTCTAACATATGCAAAGCAACAGACAGTCACAAACACAGATTGTTGGTTCCCCTTCCAAATCAAGCCTATTCAACCACAATCTACCAGGTTATACCCACCCACCTCGATTCTGCCATTTGCCATAACTTATGGGGAAAAAATGTATGTCTCCTACATACTCAACAATACAAATCCAATACCCAAGCAAATGATACATTCCCAAACAAATTTAGTGGTACAACAAAATTACACATAGCAAAATAGTTCACCATTTGAATATTAAAAACAAACATGTTTGCATAACTGGTTACGGTTTCTAAAGAGGAACAGTGCCAGATTAAAAATCCAGAACTGGAAGGAAATAAAGATTAGTCTCACAGGCACATTGAAACAGGTGAGTCCATTCCACAGAATTATTCATTATGAGCTACACTATGGAAAGGGGAGTGCAGAAAAATCTGTCATAGTTTTTTGTGATATTTCTTATTTGGTATTTATAACAATAACAGCAAAAACCCTGCAATGGTCCAAATCTTGGTGCCATCGACGGCAATAGCAAAACTCAGTGGGACCAAGATTTGGCCCAATAGGGTTTAAAAGCTTCAAAGTTACTTATTTACCTGATTATCAATAACTGTATCCACTGAACAAATCTGTAATTATCCAGGTTTCAGAGTAGCAGCCGTGTTAGTCTGTATTCGCAAAAAGAAAAGGAGTACTTGTGGCACCTTAGAGACTAACCAATTTATTTGAGCATAAGCTTTCGTGAGCTACAGCTCACTTCATCAGATGCATCCAATGAAGTGAGCTGTAGCTCACGAAAGCTTATGCTCAAATAAATTGGTTAGTCTCTAAGGTGCCACTAGTACTCCTTTTCTTTTCTTTTTGTAATTATCCAATAACTTGCAAAGGTCAGGATGGCTTAGTAGGTAAATGCCAGTAAAGAGAGCCACCTTGTACCCATCCTCAGCACATCCCATAAGAAAGGAACAGAGGGTGCCGGAAGTTCATTCCTGAACTCACAGAATTCCCTTCCAACCTTGCAGCACAATTTTCCAAGAAGTTGTGCTGGCACTGGACATTGTCCATTCTAACTGTGCTGTACTTCCCTTCTCTGGATAGGGGCCAGCACTGAGTGAGTGTTAATAATACTGCTTTTAGCCGCATTAACTCGCTGGTTTTGTTGACAGTATTACTTCCTCCTTCTGAATCATACAAAACAGATGCTCGCTGAAGCCCACCCTTCCTCTAACAAACCCTAACTATAAAGTGAGAAGCCCTGCTAGAGTGGAGTTAACTCCTAGGGCTTCCACAGGCTGCTAGGCAGGGAAAGGAGCATAATACATTGGCTCCACTTCCTCTATTTTTTGGCTCTATTTTATTTTTTATCTGCTTTCCTGTATCCTTTAGAGCAGATAGAAGTAGAGTTGCTGTAATGAGGAAGTTGTGAAATACTGATTTGTGACATTTTAATAAGTGCCTGTGTACTCTGCAACAAGATGGACCAACGTTCTACAACCAGGCCCCCAGCTTCTGGGGCACGCAGAGAGAAAATTGGCAGAACTTTACAACAAACTTTTAAACAAGAGGCTTTATTTAATTAGATCTGATGCTGAATAATGAAATCAGCATGGGAGCCCCACTGTTATTTATTTTCATATTACCTTCCGTTTATTTTACATTGCCCCACACTTTCAGTTTTTCTACAGACCAATGTCTAACTGCAGGGTGGCAGCTGTCAAGGAGAAGCTGGAGTTTTGACAGCCCAGTACTTTTTGGCACCTGGAAAGGTGCAGCCCCACTTTGGGATTGTGCAATAAGCACATTGGGCCTAATCCACAATCCACTGAAGTAAATGGAAAGATTTCCTTTGATTTCAACAGGCTTTGGATCAGGCCTACAAGTTGGCTGTTTCTGCTAAAATAATCAGCAATGAAATAGTTAACACTAAGACTCTTTGTATTGTCCTGTTTAGGTTTCATAACTAATAATCCAGTGTGATGAATGAACAGTTCACACCTCTCAGAGCTATTGTTTCAGGCTGTCTGCCAACACAGAAAGACATCACTAAATTGGTTATATTCAATTCACATTTTTAGGATTTTCAGTGCAATCATGGGCTTGTCTAGACAAATACAAAAGTTTTTTTCAAGGTGCTAGTTAATGTGCTAGCACATTTGAAAATCATGGTGGAGACAGGTCAAATCATTGTTAACATCTTAGCCAGTCAAAGTGAACTCTAGGCTCCCCTCAAGGTTTGATCTCTACTAGCAATGAGAATTCCGACTGCAACTTGCCCTGTCTATACTGAGGTTTTAAAATGTATTAGCTAAAGATGGTTTTCAAAACAAACCTTTTATCTGATTCTAGACAAGCCTCAGGAAGTATAGGGACACTACTTTTTTTTAAAAAGTGAAATAATGGATTTTAGAGCACAATTTACAACCTGGGTGAATTCCATGGCAAATTCCACAATCATGAAACAATTAATGGAGACCTGCCTATATGGATAAAAGTTCCATTTTACACCCATGGGTTTCAAATAAGATTTAATGCATTTGCAAAATCTGTTTGTGGGGGCTGAGAAATGAAATTCAGCCATGTAGATGAGCACCCATCCCACTGCATCCTGCTAAACAGAACCCTTAATTAGGATCTTTGTTGATTTTTATAACTGTATTAACTATTTTTACTCCATTTCACTCCATAAAACATTACACTGCACTAAACTACAGCCAAACAGCAGCACTCTTAGCTCATGATTGGTAAACTAAATTAAAGTGATTTCTGTTATATAAATTCTTACCCGCCCATAGAAACACCTGCTGCCATAAATGGAGCTGAGGCATGCATGTTGTGTAAATGATGAATAACAGCTTCCAAATCCTCTGTGTTAGCAGCACAGTAAGTCCTTGGTGTCTGTAAGGAGCCACAAGGAAAAACACTAGCATAAGTATTTGCATCATCCTTAAGGACAAACCAAAGTGGAAGCTGGATGGTTTACATAACATGACACACTTAACATTTCCCATCAAACTACAGTAAGATAAACCTACATAATTTTGGGAAAGAAGTGGCAGTAGGAGTCATATTTTTGAGCACAATAACTAACAGCTGAGAGGTATGCTCAATATCTGCAACTTTCCAAAAATTAACTGAACAAATTCTGGACATAGAGTCTGTAGCTGAAATTTGTTCAAAAATTGATAGGCATCATTGCTAGTTAAAAATCTATGAGGAAGTAAAGCACATCATGAAGACTGCAACATGTAGAAAGGAGAATGGCCTACAAGAACTTTCTAAAGTGTGTGTGATGCCCATTTCTTCATCTTAATCCACATTTAAATGTGCTAGTAAATATTCAGTAAAATTAAATTAACATATAGAAACTTTTAAAAAACTAGTCAATATTTAGGTACTACAAAAAGTCTTGTTTAAAATAGCTTTAGTACTAATGCTATTAAAACCTCTTTTAAACTAGGCGGTCCCTTTGAGCATTTTCCAATTCTAATACAGGCAGAATACCCTGAAGAAAGCATTATAACTTCTGATATCTTAGTTTGTTGCAGAAGTTTAAAATACAAAAATATTTGAAGCTGGTTACACTGAAAGGCATCCAAACAAGAGATCTGTTCATTAAAGCTCTGATTTAGGAAAGCACTTCAGGGGGTGTGTTCTCCATTCCTGTTCAGGACAACACTTAAGCACAAGCTAACTTTAAGCGTCTTTTCAAGTTCTGAATAGGAATCCTTTCCCGATCTGGGGCCTGGAGAGACTCCCACTGCGTTCAATGAGAGTTTCACCTGGTCCTTATTGTCCCATCTCTCCTCCACTTACCCAAAGAATAAACAAGACTTTATAGTTTTACCTGCTCAGGTTGTGGAAGGCAGTACAAGTGGAGGCATTTACCCTCAGGCACAATAAGAATCCAATAAAATAGCCCCCCCCCCCCATAACACACACACCCACACCCACACATACCCAGTAACCTGTGGATTTCATATATGCCAAAACAAAGATTTTTAACTGTGTATTTGTTATTAAAGATGCCAAGGAAAAATCCTGTCCCTACTGAGGCCAGTGACAAAACTCCCCTTGACTTCAACAGGATAAAGATTTCACCTCAGGTATTTAAAATATCATACAAGATGTTTTAGTTTTGTTCATTCAGAATCTCATGAACCTGAGGCAACAATGTATTTTCAGCTTTTTTTTTTTCTAACTGCTTGCAATTAAACAGCCTGGAAATTTGTGGCTGGTTTTAACACATTTAATTAGACAAAATTAATTAATTTCAATTTACCTAACAAGAATATAAAAATACTGAAGTTAAAAATAAAATACAAAAGGAGGAAAAAAGCTGGGATTGGGATAATTAAAACGACATGAGTTACCACTTACTTTATTATAGCTAATTAATTATAAACTGAGTGTGAATGTATTTTATTTCAATTAAATAGGCAAGTCTGCAGAAAGAAAAGTAAATTATTTTCATTAAGGAGATTACAATGTTTTTCATAAGAAAGTATGCTTGACTTAAATCCTGTAAAAACAGAGAGATACTGGGCTTATATGACATTTAATTTCTGAAACCCAAGTGCATTTCTATGTGCTGTATGAGGATATTTTAAAACAATAAAATAAACGTATCTGTTGCTTTTTCAACTGAAATGCCTGTGCTCATCTAACATATGATCATTTAAAAACAGTAATTCAATCTAACAAACTAACGTTCAACAGAACACCAATGATAGTACAGTATTTTTTAAGTCCTGATCCTTTAAATAGGCATTGTATAATGGAAATTTAAAGTTAAATCACTCTCTAAAGACAAGAACAAGAATTATTGTCATGACTACGTTTTATTATGTTGCCTGACTATGCTTCAGACTCATTACTTGGGGATTTTATATAAATATGTGGGGGGAAAAAACCTGCAGAAAAAATGTTATAACTTCAGCCGTTTTAGTCCATAGTAAGATCTTATAAAATATGTTAAGCCGATTACACTGAAATAAACACAAAGCATTGAAACAAGAGATCTTTTCACTTACTGAATCTGAAATTCATCAACAAGGACTTTGTGTGTCACAAAACAGCTTTGTATATACATCTCCAAAAGTATGCAGAAAAGTGACTCTTAACATGGCAGTGTTTTCACTGAAACATTTTAATGGGTTAAGAGAAAGCACAATGGGCATTTTAAGTTGTTTTAAAAATCAGTGGATTAAAAAATGCAAACAATACACAGTATTGTGCACACTCATAACAGCTGCAGAACTTGCCAACAAAATATATATGAAGAAACAAAGCTTATTCAGCAATATTTCAGCACATCTTGAGCCTAGCTGCAAAAAGTTCTTAGCTTTAAGATTTCAGTAATTTATCACTAGTTTCTAAAATAATATGCTGTGTAAATCCTGAAAACAACTTCTGCTAGTAGCTCATCCTGTATTGTAATTGTTGGGAAAAAAATAAAAGTAGGCTTATATCAAAAAACAAAATGTTTCAGATAAAACTGGTTCATTCATACAATAATGCATAATGGTGGGTCAGTTAATAATGGCAAAGTTTTTAAAAATTTTATCCAGGTCCAGTTAAAATTCATACAGACAATTCAGTTTAAAGTAACTGCCACTGCTTATTTCTGGTTTATGTGTTAAAACATTAGAAAATATTGCAATGGATAAATTACAAATGTACATTTAGATAATATAGTATTTTTGGAGAAGAAAATACAAAAGATATTAATTTTGCTGGTAGAGATATTAAATTATTCAAATCTTTATAAAATGAAATACATCAATGGAATACACTCCATCTGTATTGTGCAGATTATAGTACATTTATTTATTGCTGCAAAAGTCATGTTATCCTCCAGAAAAGCAGCTATCACAAAGCATTTTTATTGATGACATCCAACCATCCAAAATTCAGAAAACGACAGTATGATTTCTGAACTTTAAACGTCTATGGTTTGCTCTTTATCAAGGAACATGGAGCCCCTATAAGTAAAGTAGATGCCATATAAGAAATGAATAGCCTTTTTAAAAGGTGAATATATGCCAGTTATAAAATCAAGAACTAAGGGCCTGACCCAAAACTCATAGAAGTCAATGGGAATCTTTCCATTGATTTCCAGGGCTTTTGATCTGGCCCTAACTGACCAACCACATTTTAGCATATTCCACTATAAGAACTGAGGTTAAAAATTGAAGATGGGCGCTATCCTAATCTGAATAAATATAATTAGAGATATGCACTCTGTCAACTACAGATTAGATTCTATACTAGTCATTTATTAGTTAGCCACATCAAGCGTGGTCATCTTAGATTAGAATCCAGCCCTAAGAATTAACACTGATGACTTCAATACATGCTGTCTACACAATGAAAGTTCCTATTTTTTAAAAAATTGATCCTTACCAAGAGAGTCTCACCAGCAGTTCCTCGGTTGTTAAAAACCACACATCTAAAAATTGAGAAGGTAAATCTGAATATATACATTGTTTATTGTATAGACGTGTACAAGCATCATCTTAGGATTACACTTTTATTTTTAAAGGTCATGTAAAAATAAAAAAATGTACTGGAAATACATAAAGAAATGTGTTCCAATAAGAAGTCTAAATGTATTTACTCAATATGTAAAGTTCTTGTCCTGCAATCTGACCTGCGTGGATGGACTCTTACGCCTGCACAGAGATTCACTGAAGTCAATTGGGCTCTACATGGACATGTATCTGCCCATGAAGATCAAATTGCAGGATCAGAGTCAGCCTATATTATGTTTATTTGGTAGTAGACATGAGCCAGAACCGAAACCACAGATCTAAACACCCCAGAGTTTTGTATGGGTTGTTGCGGAGGGGAGTTTTCAATCGGTGCAGCATGGACCTCTCTCTATTTGATCCTAGTGATAGTGGCAATGCTTTCAGGGTAGTAAGAATTACCTTGATTTAAAGATCTTTAGTTTTCTTGATAAATCTTATTGTTTTATTTTTCCTCTCTACTCTAAAAACTTTTAGTTTTTCAAAAAGTTGATTAAATGCAAAAAAGATGGACTTATTTTTCTTTTAATTCTAGTGATTTTATTGCTTAAAATTAATTAAAAACAAAACCACCCTATTCCGTTGGGATCTGACCTAAACTTTTTTTTTTAAAGCTATATTCTTCTTGGGTGCCCTGACGTGTACACATTTGTCATGAATACATATAAATACTTATTTTTTTTTAAAAAAGGTACCCATGTTTTAGGTTTCGGGGAGGGGGTTCTTAAGTTATTTTACAATTTTTTAAGAAGTAATACAGGTATCTGAACCTCCATGTGGAGAATGAGTAGCCAAATATGAATGTTCATACATGAGCATTTGCAGAAGTCAATATACTCAGTGCCAGAACTCAGTCTGAAGGGACAAAACTCAGTAGTCTTGAAATAGGGATGCTGGAGTAACTGAAATGCCGACAGACCCCGGTCGTTGGTGGGCAGGTGGGATTGAACCTGAGACCTCTGGAGTTTAGTGGATGAGCCTCTACAGCATGAGCTAAAAGCCAACTGTCTCTTAGCCAAGGATGTAGAGCAAACTCATTAATCTCTCTCTCTCAAGTGGTCTCGGTGCCACTAGGTGGGCCAGAACACCACACCCAGAAGGTGTGTGGGTTACATAATCACAATGGTACACCATGTTATTTCATCCTGAAGCAGAACAGCAGCAAAGTTATTGCACCTGTCAGCCCTAGTTATGATCCAATTCACTTCCCCAACCCAACTCTTCCTCAAAGCCTGAATAAGTGGGCTATGGGCAGAACAGTTCTTGCATGACAAAATCTACCCCTTAACCATCAGTTACAGGGCTGGAATGCTGCCACTCTACACACAGTAGATAGGGGCTTGTGGTCACTGGATCTGAGTAAGTATGGATCCAGTAGCCCTTGCCTGAGCTGGCAACCCCAACAGTCCCCTCCACATTCGCCTGTTTGGAGCTCAACACAACAGCCCTCCTCTTGAAGGAACAAAGGAAAGCTTACAAAAAGAATTAATAAGACACGTTTATAAATAATTAAGGGAATCATTTTCCATTCCCTTACACCTTGTGTGGTAATTTACACCTGAGCAAAGTATGTCTGAAAGCTGCTGCTCTGACATCTTGCATTTTGCACACACTTTGCATGAGGTGGAGGGCAGTAGAGAAATAGGCCCATACAGTGCTCTATACAATTCTTATTTATTATTATCAAATATTATCCTATGTAATTTATTTCTGTAGATATAATTTGCTCTAGTAGACATCTTATACACACACACATACAAACAATTTTAGTTGAACAAGCAAAACGCTAGCCAGTGAAGCTAGGAGTACCTATATCCCAGCATTTCACTCTGTTGGATCATGTGAAGAATGTAGGATTCCTTGCTTGTTCCTGTGAGGCCAGGCAGTAATAGGATAGTGGGTCTTGTGCTGGCATCCGGAAAACATATGCTGTCATTATTATCAAACCAATCCAGTGAAATCTGTCCTCCATCTGTTGTTTTAATAAGCTCACTGAAAGGAACAGTTCAAGAGACAATATTGATTAGGGTTTTTTTTAAATGTACCATGAAAGGTATTTACAGTTCAGAAAATATTAGTTGTGGAATTTATATCCTTAATCTTATTTTAGTATTAAAAGTATTAGCTAGCAAAATTTGTGTGTAATTGTAATTCATTAAGGGCCAGACCTTCAGCTAGTGTAAGTCAGTATATTTCCTCTGCGGAGCTATGCTGATTTCCACCAGCTGAGGATCTAGTCCTTTGTGAATTACTGGTGAAATCCTGGTCCCATTGAAGTCAATGGGAGTTTTGCCATTGCCTTCTATAGAGATTCTAATAACATGCTCGTCACTATAGTATGAATGTCATCTAGTAGGAAATTAAGCAATGTGACTAACTTCTGTCACACGTTTTTTTCTCTCATCATCTCCTTGGGGGAGAAATGTGTGTAGTGGGTTTTGTTTTGGTAAGTTAAGGGGGTTCTGTGGTGTGTGTATGTTTTATTGACAGAAACACACATTGTTTAAATGAGGCCAGGATGTCACCCTATGTCAGTGGTTCTCAACCTATTTACCATTCTGGGCCACATATGCGGCCCACAACGTGTTATGTGGGCTGCATCCAATGCTACCTGTATGGCCCTGAGGATATCACATGGGCCACAGCTCTGCGTTGATTGGACTGTAAGTGGCACACGGGCCACAGGTTGAGAACCCCTGCCCTATGTCTACAAATTTTGCTAGTTAGTACTTTTAAAACTCATCTGTGTTAAGACTGCAACAAACTTGATAATATGCCAAGAAACCAAGCAAGGCTTAAACCATCAGATGAAGTTTTGAGTCAGTTTTATAAGCATACTGTATTTTCCCTGTCATCTAGCAACTTTCTGATGAAGAAAGTGAACAAACACTCAAATGCTCTACAAATTACCATAATGAGGTCTGCCTTACGTATAACTTTTCTTTCCTCAGCAATACAACACTAGTAGCACTAGTGAATATGAATCACATATGAATCACATATATGAATCACATATTTTAAAGTGAATAAGCCAAATCCTGGGCCCTGCTAAGTCTGCTTTGCACTGCTTCAGCAACAAGAAGCAGACTTAAAGCTGCTTTACATGGCCAGTTGAGGATTCTTCTTGCATGAGGCAAAGCTTGAGTGGCACAAAGTCTGTGTTCCCAGATCTATCCACCTTCCTCACAGACCCGGGAATAAAGGAAATGTTGTGGAGCAGAAAAACAGGGTCTGGCCAAAGCAGTTCTGTGCTCCAGCCATCCTAGTTGTCCTTTAGAATATCCCTTTGGGAGCTGGTGCAAGCTGAAGCTACTCAACATTGCACAAGGGGCTGAAGTAGCATCTGCCTGGGCCCAGGTTCAGGGAAGTTGTAAAGGTGACATAAAACCACTTTTCCCTCACCCTCGGGGCCTGTGCCAAATGCAGCTTTGAAGGACCTGAAGACTGAGCCCCATGTGTGTGTAAGGGAGATTATTAGAGAAAGAGCAATAAATATAAATACCTATTCATGTCCTAACTCAAGCATCCAAGAACAAAGGATAAACCTGGGGGCAAGATTTATCCCTGGCACTCAGAAGAGTTGTGCCTACTTACCAAGGAGCTGAATTTGGCTCTGGTGGGGAGTTAAAAGGAATACTAAAGGAGCAGTTTTTAAGCTGGGAAAAAGAGTAACAGTATGCTTCCCTCTTCCCCCAAGGTATGGTATACACTACCTGAGACATATACATCTATCTAGGTTATTATACCACAAGCATTACTGTGGTATCTGAGTTCTGGTGGTTCCTAAATTACTAGTTACATGAAATACTATCAGCATTGATGATAATGTGGCTGCAGAAAAATTAGTAACTTGCAAGAAAGAGGCACTCACTTCCTATACTCCACTGGGGGTCTTGAGGTGATGAAGGGACGCAAGAGGGTCTGCACCCGGCCCTCCCAGCACCATACTGTGGGGCAGTAAGTTTCTGTCACTACAGGACAATGTTCTTGGAGAAAGTGGCTGAAGCTCTCACTGCCAGTCACCAACTGAGGTTTCTAGGAAGAGAGACCACAGTCAGGTATGCAGCATCCATGAACAAAACTCAGGCAAGGCTGTTTCATTCTCTACCAGCGAGCTCATTTATTTTCGTAATTAATTTTTGCTTTCATTTTAAAAACATAAGTACATCAAAAAGCACCAGCAAAAAGCAAAGAACAACACTATTGATTCTAAACATTATGGATTCATGAGATGGTTCTAAAACAGGTTATTAAAGTACTTATACTCTCATGAAAAATAGTTTATGCTGGCATAATGCCTTCCATCAAAGGATGGAAAGCACTTTGCAAATATGACTTATGTCCCAAAAAAGCTTGTGTAACAGGCAAATATTATTACCCGCATTTCACAGATGGGGAAATAAAGAAACACAAACACACTCTTTGTACAGGAAGTTTGAGGTCTGTGGGAATGCTAGTGCTGACAAGCTGCTAGTATTTTAAACAAGATGTTACTTAGTCCTCTCTAGCTTCTCAGCAGTAGTGCAACAGTGGGAAATTTGAAGAAAGTGCTAGACACCGCCTAAAGCCCAGCCAGCAACAGGACCAAATTCTCCCAGCACCCAGTCTTTTGCCTTAACCACAAGGCCATCCTTCCTTTGGTGGAAAAGCCTCTGTGTATATTCCCAGTAATCACATACAGTGTCTCCTGTACTTTCTCAAGAAATGAAACATCAGGCCAAATCCTTATCTGGTGTAAATTACACCAGATGAAGATCTGGCTCATTGCATCCAAATTATTTGAGTCTGTGAAGTGGGGTCCACCCCACACAAGCCCTGACTGTGTTAAGGTGGGACTGGTGAGGTCAATTAACCTTAGATGCTGTACCTGGAGAACTGGGGCTTGATAGGGCCTAATAGCAGACAAAGCCCAGCTGGGAGCAGAGCTGGGCTAATAGTATAAAGCCAGGAAGTGCGAGCAGGAAGGGGTTGTAAGGAGGAGGTCTGTAGTCACTCTCTAGCGCAGTGGTTCCCAAACTTTAACAACTCGTTAACCCCTTGTTGTAGCAACCAGGCAAGGTACTAACAAACTTCAACAGGACTTTATTTTTAAAGTGGAAACCTCTTTACCAAGCTGCTGCTGCACCCTCGGTAGCTCTCATTCCGCCTCCTCAACTTTTCCCCCCCTTCCTGATTCCTGTCCTTTCAGACTCCAAACAACCAGTGCTCCGAGTTCTAATAATTACAAGCAGCATCTAAACACCACATTCCCTCCTCCCTTAAGACACTCTCCCAATTAAAATAAACATTGTTGTTCTAACCACAGGAACAAATATGAAACAAGACACTATACTGTTGGCAGAAATATTACACTGAAAACACTAGATACTACCTAACATTGTCTCTAGTCCAGACAGGTGGTCATCTGGTCTGACAGGCCGTCTCTCAAGCCCCTGTTCCAGTGCAACGTCTTGTTGTGTTGATACTACAGTGAAGTCATCCAATGCAGACTGGGTGTTGGCATAATCTCCTCTTGGTGCATAGGCAGGTGCAAGATAAGAAGCATTCCATACCCGCCCATCAGAAAGTAGATAGGTATAAGGTCCCTTCTTCTCTATAATTTTAAGAGGAGCTGTGAATTTATGGTCCCCTTTGTGTAAAATTCCAGGTTTTCGTATTCTAACGAAGGAACCACACTCAAACTTTGGTTCCTTAGCACCCCGCCGCTTGTCTGTGAAAGCCTTATACTTTGCTGGGTTCTGTTCAACTGTTTTTCTCACATCATCCTTGGCTGGGGCATCAGGTCGTGCCTTTTACAGTCCAGCAATGTTCAGTTTTCAGAGTTGCAGCCGTGTTAGTCTGTATTCGCAAAAAGAAAAGGAGTACTTGTGGCACCTTAGAGACTAACCAATTTATTTGAGCATAAGCTTTCGTGAGCTACAGCTCACTTCATCGGATGCATAAAAGTGGAAAATGCAGTGAGGATGTTTTTATACACACAGATCATGAAAAAATGGGTGTTTATCACTTCAAAAGGTTTTCTCTCCCCCCACCCCACTCTCCTGCTGGTAATAGCTTATCTAAAGTGATCACTCTCCTTACAATGTGTATGATAATCAAGGTGGGCCATTTCCAGCACAAATCCAAGTTTTCTCTCCCCCCACTCCACTCTCCTGCTGGTAATAGCTTATCTAAAGTGATCACTCTCCTTACAATGTGTATGATAATCAAGGTGGGCCATTTCCAGCACAAATCCAGGGTTTAACAAGAACATCTGAGCGATGGGGGGTGGGGGGGAACAAGGGGAAATAGGTTACCTTGCATAATGACTTAGCCACTCCCAGTCTCTATTCAAGCCTAAGTTAATTGTATCCAATTTGCAAATGAATTCCAATTCAGCAGTCTCTCGCTGGAGTCTGGTTTTGAAGTTTTTCTGTTGTAATATCCAACTTTCATGCCTGTAATCGCGTGACCAGAGAGATTGAAGTGTTCTCCGACTGGTTTATGAATGTTATAATTCTTGACATCTGATTTGTGTCCATTTATTCTTTTACATAGAGACTGTCCAGTTTGACCAATGTACATGGCAGAGGGCATTGCTTGCACATGATGGCATATATCACATTGGTAGATGTGCAGGTAGATGTTCATCTGTTTCCCATGCAGTAACTCTGCGGGTGATCTTTGCGTTGTGGCATGTTGTGTAGCCCGGGTGCTTGCAAGAAATCAGTACTGAAGGTTATCCACAATCGCCTGTCCAGTTTAGCCTTTTGCAAACTCTTTTTCAAACTTCTGTTAAACCGATTTCCCCATTGGCTTGAGGGTAATATAGGGATGACCTTCTGTGTAAAATGTTCCTCTCTGCTAGAAAAGTTTCAAACTCCAGGAAAGTAAATTGACTACCATTATCTGAAACCAGTTCTTTGGGGTTACCTTCCCTGCTAAAAACTGAAGAGAGGAACTTAATTACTGTAGCAGAAGAGATTTGCGATGTAAATGCTACCTCAGGCCATTTACTGAAATAGTCTATTAAGGTGATGGCTTTTGGAGCAGTATCAAAGGGTCCTACAATGTCAATTGCCACTTTTGCCCAGGCAGATTCAGGAAGAGGAACAGGCTGTAATGGAGGGGTACATGTCACTGCTGCCTTATCATGCATTTGGCAAGTGACACAGGATTGTATGAGTGCTTCAGTTTGAGAGTCCATCTCTGGCCACCAATACAGATCCCGTAGTCATTGTTTGGTTCTGACAATTCCTTGATGAGTATCGTGTGCCAGGTGTATGAGTTTTGACTGTAATTCTTCTGGCACAAGTAGCCGGTGTGTACCTCGTAGTACACAGCCATCAAGCAAAGAAAGTTCATCCCAAACTCTAAAATAAAGCAGCAAAACTGGGTCAAGGTTTTTAGGGTTACTGCGCCATCTCTTTATCAGAAATTCCCATAGTTTTTGTTGAATTGGACACACTGAACAAGCAGCTTGAAATTGTACTTTTGTAACTGCAGTAAGAGTGCTTATAATAAGCGTAACTACTACATCCTCATCCTCCAGTAGACCATCTGGTGAAGGCAAAGGCAGGTGAGAAAGGCAATCAGCTACCACATTTTGGTTTCCAGGCTTACATTCCGGTTCATAATTGAAAGCGAGTAGTCTTGCAGACCATCTAGCAATATGATATCCTGCTCTTCCCAGTCCTTTTGTGGTGAGCAACGTTGTCAAAAGGCTGCGGTCTGTGCGCAACTTGAACATGCGGCCCCACAGGTAAGTTCTCCATTTTTCAGTAGCCCAGACACAAGCAAGTGCTTCTTTTTCGACTGTAGAATATTTTCTCTCAGCATTACTTAGTGTCCTTGAAGCAAATGCAACAGTCCTCTCTGTGTTGTCCTCATGAAGTTGTGTGAGGACAGCCCCAAGTCCATAATCAGAAGGATCAGTAGTTACAATTGTGGGCAATGCAGGAGTGAATAGTGCAAATACTGGACTATGTACAATCAAGTCTTTCACCGTTTCGAAACTAGCTGGTGCATCCGTTGTCCACACTAAAGTTGAACTTCTCTGTAGTAATTCTCATAACAATTCAATGACAGAAGCATAACTGGGAATGAATTTTGCATGTCAGGAGGTAAGACCGAAGAAGGAACGTAAGGTTTGCAAATCTGTTGGAGGAGGAGCATTTGAAATTGCCAGGATATGATCTGGATCAGGTTTTAGTCCAGCCTGTGAAATTGTATGCCCCAAAAAGGAGAGTTCAGTTTGTCTAAATTTGCATTTGGACCTATTGAGGTTGAGGCCTGCTTTGCTGATGCAGTTTAGTACCGACTGCAAGTTATTGTCATGCTCCTCCAACGTATTTCCAAACACGATAATATCATCCAAATAGCACTGAACTCCATGTTGATTCTTCAGAATCAATTACATCATTTTTTGGAAGGCACTTGGGGCTGATGCAAGACCGTATGGGACACGTTTAAAACGGAATAGTCCCTCATGGGTAATAAATGCTGTGAGGTCTCTGCTATCTTCATGCAACATAACCTGGTAGTATGCGGTCTGCAAATCAAGAGTAGAAAACATCTTTGCTCCACAGAGTTCTGCAAATACTTCTTCTATGTGAGGAAGAGGATGGCTGTCAATCACAATAGCTTTATTTGGCTCCCTTAAGTCCACACAATGGCGAATGCCTCCATCCTTCTTCTGCATCACTACTAAAGGTGAAACCCATTCCGAGGAGTTAATCTCTTCAATAATGTTCTCTTGAACAATTCTTGAATGGTCCTCTTGAACAAGTTTTCTAAGTTCCTCTGAAACAGCTTCCCTGACTGAAAATGGTAAGCACCGTAATTTCTGTCATACAGGCATCACATTATTCCGCATTTTAACTTTATGTAGAAACCCATATGCACAGCCGAGTTTCTCCTCAACCTGGTGTTGGGCCCAGCTGAAACTGGTATGTGTACCACAAGAGTGTTTTGCTGAGGAAGATCAATGCGTCCATTAACTACCCTGAGATTTAAAGCAGCCAATAAATCTCTGCCAAGGATAGGAGTGCCTTTGTGGACAATGTAGAACTCTGCAGTTACACAGCAATCACCAAAAGTAACAATTGCTGGCAGGCAGCCATGTACTGGAATATGGTTTTTCAAATAGCACACCAAGTGAAGTTTGGGTTCAGTAAGAGGCACATCTTTAAAGTAATGCAAATAGATGGAATCAGGTAGTATAGATACTGCTGAGCCAGTGTCCAACATTAGCTTAATAGAGTGTGATTTGCCTGAGGGTATGGCGGAAATGTTTACTGTGCACTTTATTTGTTCTGGAATACGTGCAGTAGTGATTTTGTCCACGCTCAGCACAGTAACATCTGGTATTGTAACGGAATGCACCTGTTGATTGAACTGGCTGCTGCGACATACTTTAGCAAAATGCCCAATCTTTTTGCAATCATTGCACTGAGCTACTTTTGCCGGACATCCTGTGTAGCTTTCAAGGTGTTGTGGGGATCCACAGTGAAAGCATTCTTTTACTGTATTCTGAATTTGCTGATTCGGTGGTTTTCCATTAGTTTTCTCCTTGTAATCATTTGTCTGCAGCGATAGTGAACTTTTCTGCAAAGGAGTCACAGCCTGGACTGTGCCTCCTGTATCCATGCTCATTATTTTGGCTTCATCTGTAGCTGACTCAATCTGGGTAGCAATGGTTATTGCTTTTTCTAGTGTAAGTTGTGGTTCTAGAAGTAAACGTTCTCTTACATGAAGCATGGTTGTTTTCTCAATGAGCTGGTCTCTAATCATCTCATCTGCCATATTCCCAAAGTCACAAGTTACAATCAGACTCCTCAGGGAAGCAATATACTGCATTATAGTCTCCCCTGTTTTCTGCTCACACTGGCGAAATCTGTAGCGATTAGCTACTACATTCACTTTTGGCACAAAAATGTTATTTAATGCAGTGAGTGCAGTCTCATATTTACCATCTGCAATGGGAAAAGTGTAAAATATACACTGCCCTTCTGCTCCAAGGCAGTGGATTAGCACAGCACGCTGTCTTACTTCAGAAATCTCTGTAGCAGCGATTGCAAGCGGATAAGTCTCAAACATACGGATCCAGGCAGTAAAAGCAATTGGAGGCTCATCTGGGCTTTGCAGAAAGGGTGCAGGTGGGTTCAGAGGCAGAAGATCCATCCTCATTGCCAAAATGTTGTAGCAACCAAGCAAGGTACTAACAAACTTCAACAGGACTTTATTTTTAAAGTGGAAACCTCTTTACCAAGCTGTTGCTGCACCCTTGGTAGCTCTCACTCTGCCTCCTCAACTTCCCCCCACTTCCTGTTTCCTGTCCTTTCAGACTCCCAACAGCCAGTGCTCCCAGTTCTAATAATTACAAGCAGCATCTAAACACCACACCCCTTTCACGAAAATATCAAATCTCGTGAACCTCCTAAAAATGAATATTTCCAGGAATTTTCTCCCTTATCTGAGCATAAATTATAGAAGCAGTGATCTTGGAAATAATTAGTTTTTTTATGACATGCTTATTACACACTTTATTATTACATTATTATTTATCATTACATTATTAATTTTATTACATTATGAAAATGGCAACACTCTTCCAAGATTCCACTTTTGTAGCTCATATCACTTCGATTAAGCCTCCTACATGTTTCATCAAAGAGTACCAGATGTGAAACAGCATGTAGGTATTTAAGAAGCCAGCTCAGATAAAGAGTTCCTCCCACAAGGATTCGGGTCTTGAGCAGTTCAGCCAAACAACGCACGACTACAACAAAGCTTAAACTTGTTCTTCCAGGAAGTCATGGTCACAGGGCTCGGGCTGCCCCGGTGGCCAGGGTCCCTAGGGATGGCTCTGTCCACTATTACAGAATTTTTTTCTGAGAACCCCCTGATACATTTTGCGAACCCCCAAGGGTTCACGAACCCCAGTTTGGGAATCACTGCTCTAGAGGGAAAGGGAGTTAGTCAGGGGCAAAGAAGGAGAGCTGGGGGAGAGTAAGACCTGGGGTCCTGTCCTGGACTAGGCAGTCTCACAAGAGGTCTAGAGGGGGTGATGTAGCCACAGGGAGCCGAGGAAACTCTGCTGATAAACACAGAGACAGGCAGGGGATAAGCGGTGGGGTAGGAAAGAGCAGGGAAACAACAACTGAGACTGAGCAGGTCTGGATTGCTAGTCAGACTTGTCCCTGGATTAGCAGGAGGGCCTGGCTTCCCCTACCAGCCTCTGGGAAGTGGTGCAGGACCTAGAGGTGCAAGGGAAGACCCACTGAGGTGGTGTCCTGACAGCTTGTCTGGTGTGACTGGATTACCCTGGAAGTGGGGTTAGGGACTGGTCAGAAGGCTGAGTTAAAAGGGAGCATCCAATTCAGACACAGGGGTGACCAACAGAAGTGCCAGATGGGGTAAAAAAATAATAACCCAGCCACAAGGAGGTGCACCTGTGGTGAGTGAACCCTTTCAGAGTCAATTATTTGTGAAATACAGGGAAGGAAACATAGAAGTGTCTGAGCTGCATATCAAAGTATGTATATCTAACTAATGACAATGCAGGGAACAGAAAAATTGTACAGAGGAGAAAGATAAACTACTTTCTTTGGCTGCAATGTTAGTAAATGCTTAGAGCCAGAGAATAGATGGTTTAGAAGGGGGAGAATTTTCTTAATTTCTCCTTCCAGCACTCCTTGTACCCATGGCCTGTCTACTGAAACTGACAAAAGGATGCTGTCAGGGCAATTTTCTCACCATCCCCCTGCCCACCCTCCCAAAAAATTGGATACGAAAAGATAGACTTAATAAACCTAAAAATCCCGTAAATCAGTTTGTGTAAGCAAATGAGCATTTCCCGGCAGTGTGTGCAACCCAAACAAAGGAGCACCCTTCTAGGGCAGGCGACAGTGACATTGACTGGAAGCCGCCTAGAAAGCGGAATCAACGCGGCTTTGCTTTTACTTGTCCAAAGGTGAAAGAAACTTCAGAGCAGAAGAAAGGGGGCGAGTGCTGAAGTGTCCTGCGGTTTGCAAACTCCTCTTGGCTTTAGCGAGAGAGCGGCGATTTGTATCAGAGCCGAGGACATTTGCCTTTTTAAAAAAGCGTTTTAACCTGACGGTGACCCTACTGTAAAGCTGTCAGAGCATTATCTGTCCTCTACCCCCAGAACCATCCTACCGCGCCTATCTCCACTCACCTTGGCGATGCTATTGAGGTAATAGCAGGCGAAGGCGGCGGTGAAGCCCAGCACCAGGGACAAGCCCACACCGGAACCGAAGAGCCCCGCCGGCACCTGGATCTCCAGGTACAGGGACAGCTCCCGGGTCAGCACCTGCAGATCGGTCTCCAGCAGCCTCATAGCAGCAAAGGCAGCACTGGTCGGCGGGATGCAACAAACACACACACACACACACACACACACACACTGGGGGGGGGGGTGAAGCGCCCGGCGATGCAGGGCTGGGGACCGGCGCATACACCCTAGGGAAGCACGGGGGGAAGGAGTCCGGCAGCTGACCCCGTTCCTGCCGCTTCCCCGGGATCCAGACGGTGCCGATGCCGCAGCCAGCGGAACGCTCCGGGGCAGCCCCAGCTGCCGCGGAGCTTCCTCTCCTTGCGGCTGCCCAGACTGCTCCGCCCCTGCCCTCCCCTCCGGTGGTCCAAGGCCGGGGCCGTGCGCTCGGGCGGAGATTACTGCAGTGGGGGACGGGGCGAGATAGCTGTGACAGCGGGCAAGAGCCGCACCCGGGCAGGGGGCTAGAGAGGCAGGGATGTGGCGGTGGGGTGGGGGTGGGGAGATCTGCATTCAGGAGGATCCTGCCGCCCTCTAGCTGGAGATGGGGGCGCAGGAATCAGGCTTGTTGCAGGGTGGGCTCAAGGCCATGTTTCCAAAGCGCTTTGACTCACTAGCAGGTGGGAGCGATGGTGTAGAAAGGGCTTCCCTGTATATCACATGTCCTTACATCGTGGTTTGATAACTCACAAGGAGTGGCCATGGGCCTCTCCGAGACTGAGGTGTGGACAGGAAGAACTATCTGGGCAGGATGAGTTTCTTCTATGCCCCATTGTGAGAGTTTAGTGTCCATGATGGGCCATCAATACACAGCTGTCTTGCACCAATGTAAATTCTGTCTGCTGCTGGGTGTTACCCAGGAATACAACACATGTATAAGATACCTGTACATAGCCAATATTCATAACTTCAGATACAAAAAATGATACATGCATATAAACAGGGTAATCATACTTAGCAAATCATAACTTTTCCGTCTACACCTTGTGACATACTTTGTACAAGATTTGTTGCAACTGCATAACAGTTGTAGAAACAATGATAATAATGGTCATATTCAAGCATCACACATACCCAGCCAGCTCTCTACAGAAAATAGTTCAGGAATCACTGCTCTGGCAGAACAAGTCCATTCTAGGCCAAGGCTTTCACCTTCTCGCTTTCATGGCCAATGTGTCATTTCCATTCAGTCACTTTGTGAACTGCAATTCTTCAGACAGACCTAAAGCTCCTCACTTTCAGTGAGAACAGAGTCCAAGGCAAGGTTGGAATTTAAAACTAACGTGTCAGTTGTCAAAATAGAAAAAAAACCATATTTATTATTTAAGCATGTGTATATTCAGACAGTAATAGTAACTAGTAATCTCTCACTTATACAGGGCCATACATTGGCAAGAGGGCTGAACTGATTTTGTAAGATTTAAAAACATGAATCTTCATGGGCCACGTCATGTTGAATGGTCCCTCAAAATGTGTATTAACTACTTATGCTAAACAATCTGTTCCTTCTTCTTTTTAGCTGTGACACACTGGGTATGATCACACTGCAATTAAAACCCTGTGGCTGGCCTGTGCCAGCTGATTTGGACTTGTGGGGCTCAGGTTAAGGGACTGTTTAATTGCAGTACAGATATTTGGGCTTGGACTCTAAGACCCTGTGAAGTGACAGTAGTAGGTGTGCCAGTAACTGTTCTTCCATACAATGTTTCTTTGTACATAGCCCGTTTAAGTCTTCTAGTAATCCTCTGATATCTTCTCGGAGATACAAGAGAACAGACCACTTCTTGTTCCTATGTACCCAATTCCAAGAGACACTAGAGTTGGGGGAGGGGAGGGAGGGAGAGAGGGGAACCCGGTGTGAACTTTGCTTATAGCTTTTTCAAAGGAGCAGAGTCCAAAATTCCAAAGATACTTGCTACATTTACAATGCTCTTTGCCCTCCATTCCTTAGATACCTATTGGATCAACCTAGCTTTAACGGATTTAGAGGGAAGCCATAGATTTTTCTTTGATTTTGTATGCTTGTCTCTAAACCATGTTATTCAAACAGCTTACTCAACCTATTGTTTGTCTAGTCTCCTCTGTAACTAGTTGTTTTGTAAAAGTAATTTAAAAAGACCTCACTTCGGTGCTCTGCTATTTTTGCTGCAAAGTGGTTATGTGATGATGGGGGGCTTTGGGGAGAATTATTGGGTTTTTGGATTAGAGAAGGTCTCCAATTACAGAAATAATGATCTTGTGGGTGGAGGGAGCCTAGCTAATTCCTTTTGTACTAGTTTCTTTTTTCAGAGGAAAATCAGGTGGCTATTGGAGCTGAGAAACCATCTTGAAGGAAGAGGCTGGTGGGGAGCAGCAGTCTGAGGGGAGAACTGGAACAGTGACAGGAGAATCAGGGTGTCTGGAAAAGGAGGAGTTGAAGCAACAGCCTGAGTAGGGGAGGAAATTTGAGAGGCAGCTTTGGCATGATCTGTAGTCATGGCCACCAATGGACAGGCCAGCTGGCCATAGTGGATAGTTGAAGAGGCTTGTGGGAAGAATTACTTGCAAAATGAAGAAGTGAGAAGAGTCTAGTGAGGAAGAGGGACTGAGGAAGAACAGCAAGAGACTGCCCAAAAAAAGCATCTGAGAGCAAATCGTTTGTAGCATGACAGGAATTTTGCAAGTTCTTTGCTCTCACTGCGATTCTGAATGGGACACTAAATTGCTGCAAAAGTATGAAATGCTTAAAGGGAAAATTAGGCTTATGCACTCTGTTTCTTTGTGAAGAAGTTCTGAAAGTTTTTAACATTAAATTAAAAGAGGGTGCTTTTCTGCTTATCATTCAAGTCTTGTTTACCCTGGAAGACACTCAGGGGCTGGAGCACCCATGTGGAAAAAATGGTGGGTGCTAAGCACCCACCGGCAGCCCCCCTATCAGCTCCCTCCCTCCAGTGCCTCCCGCCAGCTGGCGGCCAGGCAGATCAGCACCTCCCACTTCCTCCCAGTGCCTCCCACCCGTTGCAATCAGCTGTTTCGTGGCACGCAGGAGGCTCTGGAGGGGAGGAGCGAGGATGTGGCGCGTTCAGGGGAGGGGGAGGAACTGTGCGAAAAGAAGCGGGGTGCGGGTGGGGCGGGAAGAGGTGGGGCAGGGGTGGGGCCTTGTGGGAAGGGGCGGGGTAGGGGCCGACGGGGCATGGGGCAGAGCCAGGGATTGAGCACCTTCTGGCACTTTGGAAAGTCGGCACCTGTGCACATGGTTGGCCTGGGTCAGCTGACTTGGGCTTGTAACGCTCAGGCTCTGGGGCTGAAAAATTGCTGTGTCGATGTTTGGGCTTGTGCTGGAGCCTGACCTCTGGGACCCTGGGAGGATAGAGGATAAATTACATTCAGCATCATGTGAGCTAATTGTCATTAAACCTAGCTTAGGCCACTGTTTAATCATTTTAGGTGACATGATGCCGAACACTATTTGTACTGGTTTTTGCATCGTGTCTGGTCTCTGCATCGTGTCATCTAACGTAACTGTTCACAATCATGTTAAAACGGTAAAATTCTGTGGTATATACCAGGCTGATATCAGCCATGTTTGTTTGAAGTGCCCCCACTCTATTAGTAAATGTTGATCTTTCTGAGAAGGTTTGTGTTTGCTACTTCCTGAGCAAATGCTAAGCTGCAGAAATGCTAGAATATTCCTCAGTACTGTGGAACTTGCTGCAAAATCCACTTCTTGCCACAGGAATATGATCAAAATGTCATTTCTAGCCCTTATAGTTCTGAAGATTACCTCCAAAAGGTGACCTGAGTACAAACCAATTCAGTGGTGCCTTCCTGAATTTAAAGACAGCATGAAACAATAATTCAGAGATGGAGGAACTCCCCCATGAATTTGATAATTCTGAAACCTAAAGATGACAAATTGTGGCCTACTGACAATGTGAGACAGCATAAACTAAACTAAATTAGTATAAAAATGAACTACTGCATTGGCTATATTTCTCATATTCATCTCTAATCCAATTAAAACAACCATTTAAAAAAATTATCTGAAACTGCCACAGAACTTTGACAATTTTTACCAGACTGCCACAGAATCTAGGGACTTTCCCATAGAATGTGGCTTAAGTTTGCTGTGGAGTACATAGACCCTTGTCTATAGCTACAGTTGATGTAACACTTCCATTTAAACTCCCCTATTTTTATTCCCTTATAAATATCTCAATTTTTTGTCTGAAAAGTTGCATGCTTAAATTAAGCGCAGAAACAGAACATATTATACTGTTTTATAAAACTTTTAGTTATTTAAAAAACATCTCAAAGCAAACAGTGAAATTCTGGCTTCATTAAAGTCAATGGTAGCTTGGCCATTGACATCAGTGGAGTCAGGATTTCACACAAGGAGATTTTTTTCCACCGAAAAAATGGTCTAGATTTCCTTTTGCATGATAGCTATGAAAACTACTTATAAAACTTTTTGTGTAATCTTGAATGAGGTGTGTGTGTGTGTATACACACATATATATGTTAAGAGTATGCACAGTGTATAACTCATAAAAATTCAGCAACATGCATTAAGGTGTGTGTTTTAGGGAATTTGTAGGAGCATTTGTTCATAAATGCATATCCAAATAACCACACCTGGTATGTATGAAATCTAAGATACTAATCTATTAAAACTTACTTTAATGTAATGTCAAGGTTGAGACTTCAATTGTTTATGTTAAAACATTAAAAAAATTAAGATTATTGTGTATGCTTGGCTTCCTCAAAGTTCATCATTACTTTAACAGATGATTTCATAGCAACTAAGCCATTGTTTGTCAGATATTATTTAGTACTTATATGGGGCCTGATCCAGGAAAGCCCATATGGACATGCTTAACTTTGAGCACATGGCAATGGCAGTCCTCAGGCACTTTTAAGTACATGCTTGAATACCTTGCTGTAGCCGGCCACTGATCTTAGCTCTTCAAAGCACTTCAGGAACACGAACTAATAGATTCTGACTTTACCCCTGTGAGTTATGTAGGTACAAATTACTATCACTTTTAGAGATGGGGAAACAGATACAGAGAAGAACTGAGTTCCTGGATGCCAGTCCCCTGATTGGACCATGCTTCTCTCTAATTTAAGGAAGTGCACTTTTTCCTGTATAAGCATAGATGCACGTGTTGTATGAAAATGTAACAAAACCCTACTGCATAATATTTGAAAGCATTTAATTGGTACATAACTTTGAACTCTACTAAAATACATTGGATTACTAGGCTGCACGAAGAACTTGTACGGCAGCACAGAGAATAAAGTAATTTACAAATAGAGAAAGCTGGTGTATGTGCTATTGTGTATACGTCACTGGGTGGACTGGGACCCAAGAGGAAACTGGTTCAGGCCACTTGAACCTCATTAATAGACTCTGGAGAGGGCAGCTGGTCTCTGTAAAGAGCCAGAGGGGAACGGGAACCAGGAAGAAGAAGTTGTAGCAGAGTGAAGCTATCGAGAGTT